TTGCACTTTCCCAGGCTTTGCAAAAGTAGATTTTACTTTTCAGTACAAAAGTCCCTTTTGCTGTATGGGAGCCTCCTTAATCTATGTATCCTTGCATGAATTGCTGTGGATGTCTGTAGCTGGATCAAGATCTGTGCCTCCCAGACAAAATAGCCCCTTGTGTCTGCCCCCTCCTACCACCTTGGCCACTTGGTGAAGACACATTATAGTGCTGGCACACAGATGCTTGTGCTTGCTTCAGTCATGAACGAGCATAGCGTGGTACAAACAGACATGTTAATATTTTGAGTTTCAGGACCTTTTCTATCACCCCCTCATTATATGTCCTAGTGGCAGCCCAGCTGAAGCACAAAAAGCCGGTATAGTTAGTGTCCAATATATCTTACGGTGCTCACTCAGGATTTGTAACTCGGGGCTGTCCTTGGGCTCTAAATCAGGACATGAGTGAAGCGCATTGAATGATCCCATTAATATAAATAGCGCTAAAGTTAAAAGCAGGGCTCCGTGAAAGGACTTTTGATACACTGGCTGCCGTCGCCCTCGAGTCAGCAGGTGGCATTATAGAACAATCGGGAATGCCCAAACCTTGGCCGCTTCCCGGCCGCAGCCGCAGACCTGAGCCCACGGGGGAATGAGCATGAAACCCGGCTGTTCAGCACAGCTGAAGCCGCACAATGGGCACTTGCCAATTAGGGCCGGGGCTATTGTCTGCGAAAGGTCAAGTGCTGGCCTTGCTGGAATCTTTCAACACCGGCTCCAGAGCCATTGGGACTTAATATATTTTATACAGCTGAAAACTTGCTCGGCCCTACGCAGGGCAGAGCCAGCCTTTCCTCTGCCCTTCCCCCGTATTCCCCAGGCCGGCAATACGTGCTGGGAAACCTCAGCGAGGGAGGAACCTGGCTTTTTAATCTGCTACCGCCTCCCTCCCTGTAGGTATTGTGGAAGAACTGAGTTGTTGGCAGGGCCGTAGAAAGGAGGTGGTTTGGCAACGTGGGCCAGGGGAGGGTGTTTGGGACTGGGTTTGTTTTACCATCTCCCAAGAGATTTTCTTTATAGCTCTGGTGGTACATGTTTTTACAGCTTACTACTTTTAGTATCTGTCACTTGAAAAGAATAGATGGTCTAGATACATGGGGGAAAAAAATTGTGCAAGCAGCAACACGCAACCAACAAAAAGAAAACTTTCCCATGAAATACCCAAGTGATACAGATGTTGCAGGGTGCTTAAGGAACCACGGGCTAAGGAAAGACTCAGCGTTTCTGGCTAGCTTTTGGGTCCAGAGGCTGCAGATGAGAGCCTTCAAGCTCCCTTGGGTCGGATGCCAGATGATCCATTAGCCCAATGGCCATGCCAAGACGTGGTACCTTCCAGCAGCTGTAGCTGGCAAGGATCTCTTCCCAGACTCCAAACCAGAAATGGGAACTCCATGAGTGCCTTTAGCCCCAGTGTTGTAATTAACTGCTGCATGGATGAGCATTGCCTGCTGGGCTGCCTGGTGATGCAGGGGTTTCAGTGCACACAGAGGCAGAGGTGAGTGCCCTCCCTCAATCCCCAGTGGACGATGAACTCCTGGTGTTACTCCTTTTGCCCTTTCACTTGGGGACAGCCCTTATTAAAGCAGATGGTGGCTTTGATTTCCAGGCCACAGTGATTAGTGACTGTGCTGTCCCCACGGGCTCTGGGCTACAGTGTCCCCTTGGGGGTGTGAATTCAACTTTTAAACCCCTGCACAGGAGCTGACCTTTGTTTCCACCAGTGGCACAGTTAGGATGGACCCAGGGTGGTCCTGGGGAGAACATCAGCCTCCCTGTAATTGCTGGTGACAACAACCACAGGCCTGCGTTGGACATGGCCCACATTCTTGTGTTGTCACCACTGTGCTGGGTGACTTTGTGAGGACATTTTCCAGTGGGCATTGGCCTGGAGCCAGGCCACAGCCCGGGTTACTGGTTAAACCCGTGGTTTTAATGTGCTAATCCCAGAGTTTGAGCTACATGTACTGTGTGGCTGTGTGTGTGTGGTCCTGAAAACTCACCAGTCTACTTGCAAATTAAAAAAACCCGAAAACACTATAATATTTGCCCATTTGTTGCCATGGCGATGAAGAAGTGTGGAACAAAAGAAAGATATTCCGGTTGCCCCCGGGCCTGTGAACAAGCAGAGTCAGAGAGAGTGGGTGAGAATGTGCTGTTAATTGTAACCAGAAATGCAGTAGGTCAGCCACCATCACCGCAAAGTGTTCTTCAAACCTCCTTTCATGTCCCAAAAAGACATCCTGTAAAAGCCGGTGAAAGCACTGACAGCGGGACTTCCATTGTACCAGGCGGGACTTGGCCCATAAATTAAGCAAACTGAAAACCCAGCTTTGCTCCCTCCAGGTGTTCGTTTTCCTCAGTCTGTCGATAACCTGGCAGGAGCAGATCTTGAAGCAAGTGTTACCTGTGCGCTGCCGGGACTCGCCGCAGCGCCGCTGCCCGGCGGAGGTAACAGCTGGAACGGGACAGCCGCTGCTTTTGTCTGCCGAAACTCGCGCTTCAGCTCTCGGATGCTGCCGGGCCCTTTGCTGTCCCAGCCTGCAGACTTTCCTGCCATGCATGCAAAAGAAATCCGAGCCATTTCACAACTTCCGAGTTCTGATAGCATTGAGAAAAATGCATAAAACCCCAATAAAACTCCTTCCCCCATGCATTTGTTGTGCTAAGGAGGCACGTCCCTGTTTCATGGGTACAGAACATGGGCTCAGAAATTAACTGTAATTGTTGGTTCTCATTCTGTACGTGCACAACATTTGGCATGAAAAGTGTCTGCATCTTCTGTAAATCCCTCTTCAATTATGTGGAAGTGTTGGGTTTAATTTAAACCATGGCTGCTCCCACCAAGCTTAAAAATAAAATAACATAAAAACAGAACCACCCAAATCAGTCATAGTATCTTGGTCATGTTTATGTTATATATATGTAGCTAAATTTGCTCCTATATAGATGGAAACCTGAAGCCCACTCTCAGAGCCACCTAGCTTGTAAAGTTTCAAGAGGCTGTTGGATCCATGTGTAGTTGTTCTTCTGAGAAATTATTTTCCTGTCTCAAACTACATTCTTCTATTTGCAATAACCCAGAAGGTAATGCAACCTTCAGACCAATTCCACAACCACAAAAAAAGCCAGTACCCTTGATTCATTGCCATAAGGATGTCCAGGCACAGTATTTTCAGAGGCAGTATTACATAGCTCTTGCTAGGTAAAATGGATTTTTCAGAAGATAAAGAGCAGTGCTTTAAAAATGTCCCAAATTAAATGCAGTCTTATTGACGTAGTTTTAAACACAAAGTTGGTCCATATAAAGATCACAGGAACTGGCTTACAGTCATCAGAGATGGAAAAACACCTATCAGACAAAGCTGTACGAGGGCAGAATCTGGTTCCTCCTAAAAGAGGGCTGGGTCTCATCTTTCACTGTTCTTTCTTCCATTAACTTGATCTTTGATCTCAGTTCCTGTTAGAAATATCTGTAAACAGTGATGAAGTCCTAGGCCATTAACCAGATGTTTAACATTGTGAGAAGACCCCTGCCTCTAATAGACTATCTGATAAAGAAGACAGCTACAAGAGCAATCAATAACAATAACTACAACAATAACAATAATAATATTATTCTTAATAATATTCTTCAGGAAAGAAGACACAGAATTTTCATTTTCTGAAGGATCTGTCGGTCACTTTGAAGCAAACCAGGCTGCTGGAAATGTGGTTCACATTTCAGAATCATTCCTTTCAGAATCATCAGGCTCAAGCATCCAAGCCAAGCTAATTTTTTAGTTTAACAAATATGAGCGTTCAGTTCAACTATATTAATTGGGTACTCAATCCACCACCAAGTTCTTGACCAAAAAGATAATTGAAGAACAGTTATTACAGAAACTGACCTTGTAATAGGGCATTGCAGTTATTTTAGTTTAGACTTGGTCAATACAGGGTTCAAATCCCTGAAGCTTCCAGCCCCGCACAGGTGACCTGCTGGGAGCTCCTGGAGCATGGCTAGTGCTGTGCAAAGACTGTGTTTTCAAGGACAGCTGCCTGGAAAGCCTTCCCAGAAAAGATCTGCCTTAGCCCAGGCTGATGCTGTTCAGGGAAAGCTGCAAAGTGCATTTTTAAATTTGTAAAGTCTTCCCCTGACCTAAGTGATACATAAACCCACATTGGCAGTGCTCTTCACTGAGGAAGGAAGCAAGGCAAAAAGCCAACAGTTTTACTTTAGGTTTTTATAGCCCAGTAATTTTGTACAGCATGGTAGGCAATACATAATGGAAAGGTGTGTGGAACCATCAGGTTAGAGAATTAAATTCTATGTATTATATAGCCTTGACTTACAAGCTATGGCTGAGGTATTATTTAGTCCCATTCAGAATCCTGAGCATTTAGAAGTTAAAGCCTATCATGGCAAAAATGAGGCAGAGAAGGAGATCTGCTTTAAATGTACTCCTAATTACTGCTAGAGAGCTTTTATGAAGAACAGACCACAGCACTTCCTATTGTTTTACATTTTGTCTTGTTTTAGAGTCTCAAGAGTGATGTCATAACAGGGGGAAACTTGTCATGGACACACATTGAACCCTGGACACAAGGAGAAGATCTCTGATAACATATTCAGTACATGGATGGGTAATTCAATAAGGGGAGAAAATGCTGAATTAAAGACATTTTTAAAGTTACTTGTATGCGTGTCTCAGAAATTCTACCTCTGTTCAGAGGCACATGCTGAACTGCAATCAAATTACTATGTCCAGCTCTGCAATTTCAATCATTTATACCATTTATACGGGTCTTTTTTTCTTGAATTAGGCAAAATGTGAGCCCAACAGGAAATTAAGCAACTAAGCAAAATCAGGAAATTCACTCAAGTGGCTTAGTCAGTGGAATGCCACTGCTATCTTCAAACTAAAACTCCAAAGAGGTTGAACTGCAGTTGGATTTATTTTCAAAGTGGCTAATTTGCTTTTAATTTGTACAAGGTTAGTAACCAGGAAAAAAATACATTGCTCTCATGAAGCTTGCCTTTAATTATTTTCACAGAAGGCCTCAGCATACAGACATACATAATGAGTTTAAAAATATAAAAATATCAGAGCATCTATTTTAATGACAAAGTTTGAGATGCTTATTTTAAATAAGTACCTGCTGTCTTTAGAACATTAAAAAAGAACTGAAACAGAAAAAAATACGTTCAAAGATTACACTTGGTCCTCAAAACACATATTTGATGATAGCTCTTGGGGTGGGGAGAGAGGAATTCTTTTAGCTGTTTACAGTGCCTCCCTGCATTTGGGATCTACAGATCTGTATGCAAAGTATTTTAAGTGATTTTTCTGGGAGGACATGCTACATATTTTGCTTCACAGAAAACACATCACTGCCTTGAACCCTCAAAACAATTTCTTGCTTGCAAATTACCATTATTACTTATCTACCCAAAGTACCTAGGAACTGCTGTGATGGTCCAGGTCTCTGTTGCACTGGGCAGTGCACCAACACAAAATAAGTGTATAATCCTTGCCAAGAGCACACAGAAGACAAGAGGTGTCTTTTTGTAGTTTAAAAAGAAGACAGAAGTACCATGGCTGATCTTTATTATAATTCCAGTGGTCCTCATAGTATTGATCTATTGCAGTTTGAAATCAGACGTTTTCTTGTGATTTTAAATAAATATTGCTGCTTGCACAGCAATGCACTGCACTTGCCTTTGATTTAAACTAAGCCATGAGATGCTTCATTAGCTTCAAGAGGAAACCATGGAGCCTCGCCCTGTGGTAACAGGTTTGGATCTGGAGGGTTTCACTGCTGCTTTCTGAGCCTGGTGCCTGTGTCACACTCCTCCTGCTCAGTTCTTCTTTCTGGGCAGCCTTTGCTGGACTTGTAACAACTCCTGTTTGGTATTCAAATAACAGCTATAATTAAATCTTCTGCCTTTAGCCAACAGTATCAGAGATGAGGGAGGAAAAAATAATAGATTTATACTAGGCATAAGGGAGAAAGTTTTTATGATGAGGCTGTTGAAGCACTGGCACAGGTTACCCAGAGGGGGATGCCCAATCCCTGGACACATTCAAGGCCAGGGGGGCTTGAGCTCTGAGCAACCTGATCAAGTTGAAGACATCCCTGATCATTGCAGGGGGGTTGAACTTGATGGCCTTTAGAGGTCTCTTCCAACCCAAACCATTCTGTGCTTCTGTGATAACACACAGCCACTGTTGCGTGTCATCTGTGCCTGTCTGTGCATATCTGTACACGATGTAACAGATTTAAAACCAGTTGGGCAACTTCAACTGAATTTGGTAGAGATTTAGAGACCTTCTGGAGATTGTGCAAAATTCATGGAAGTACCCAACTGAATAGAAAACACCCCACAAGTATTTCTGCTGAAGACAAGGGCTCTTAATCAGCTCCTATCTGGTCTTAGACAACAGAGAACAAAGAAAAAAAAAACCCCAAATTTGTGAGGCTTTGTCCTACCTCAAGTACAGAAGAAGTTTCAGCCAGGACTTGCATCTTAATCAGTCAGCCTTGAAGCACCTTCAAAAGACACCAAGTTTCATTAAAACAGATTTTAAAATGCACTAGTTCCAATAGTATCTCCTCCTTTCTTCAGAAATATCCTATATGTTTCATAGTTCAAAACACAGAACAGCTTATAGGGGTGTTTGGAGGTGATGGGGAAACCCCTCTTTCTACAGGACTGATGGATGTCTCTTGCTCCTTTGCACAGGGTTGACTGGGGGTCAGGAAGACATTTCCCTCCCAGTCAGGGAAGAAGGGACATGAAGATTCATTTGTCTTTTTTTATTCCTTTCCTCTACAGCCAGCGGCCTGGCTGACCTCCTGAATCATTCAGGTCATCATAAAAAAGCCTCAGGTCATGTTGATCACTCTTGTTTTCTGCTTGTGAAACACAGGTTACTCTCCTGAGAATGAAAACGCTTTAGTTTAATTGAAACCTTTGGGCTTAATATATGAGTACCTTTGTTAAATGTAAAGCCCTGAGGTAAGTAGAGGTCACACCGGTGCAGTTCAGAGTGTCTGGGGGGCTCGAGAGGCAGAACAGCCTTTGCTTTAGTGAAGGGTAGACAGAGGCACAAGAGGCTGTGAAGGGCTTTGAATTAAAAGATGGGAAGTTTGTGGCTGATACAACTAAAACAGAGCACAAAACCAGAACCACCAGAGTTAGGAGGAGGCTCGTGTGGCTAAAGGACATGGCTAGACAGCCACTGCAGCAGTAGTGAGTGGGTCTGGATGGGATGAGATTGTGTTAGTTGAGAGGAAAACTGAGAGAAAATGAAAAGTTCTGTTTGAGCCACAGTGGGCTCTATCTCTCACTTATGTGTCAGGGACAGGATTTCTCACAGGCTGTGATTTCAGCTGGAGCAGAGCAGGCAGGTAAGGGAGCATGAGTAGAAACGTGGTGTTTGAACAGCTTTCTGCATGATCCAGAAATATAATATGTAAGAGAAAACCCTTCAATACTTGAATATGCCCTGTGATTAGCATGCACAATTCTATGTGAATGTTTCATGGTTAAAATCTTTGGTACATATCACTCTGCTTGGCTGAAACACAAGGAAAATTCTTCCCTATATTGCTGTTTTGATTTAAGGATGAAAATAGTCCCTGCTTTATCTAACCATAGTCAATTTAGGAATGAGATGAAGTGACATACAGATATTATTGGCTTGCAATCACTTTGTTCCCCAGTGAAGTTTCACATTTGAAAGATCTTTGTTTCCAGAGAGATGGTAAAAGATGTTAAGGCCTGACACTGTGACACTGCAATTCTTCTACCACTTCACAGCCAAGTTCGAGGCAGAATAAAAGAAAATAATATGTATGCAGATATAAACAATTCTAACACTAACAAAATATTTATCCAGTGTGTTTCCACAGGGAAATTAATTTGTTAATTGCTCTCTCAAATTCCTGGGTAAGTAAAAGCAGAAAACGACCAGAACATTGCTAACTAGCATCTTCTTGAAACAAAAACCAAAACAAACAGATTTTATAATGTACTAGTTTCAATACTATCTTCTCCTTTCTTCAGAAATATCCTAGATGTCTCATAGTTCAAAACACAGAACAGTTGTTTTGTTGTACAACAACAGTAAAAAACCACCCCTCACAAAAAACCAAAAAAAACCCAAACAAAAAAAACCACCCCAAAATTAAGCAAAACCAACCAAAACCAGCCCAAACCAAACAAAAAACCCCCAACCTCAGCCCATAAAAAATGAGAAGCAGATGAAATGGCTCATACAGAAATTCTATATTAAGGATGGTGAACCATAACAAGTGTGATATGTTGTACAGAGCGGGCTTTAAGTAAGAGGGCTTATTAACCAAATTTAATTTATTTGTTAGTTATATGTCTTCCCTATGCCTTGTATTGGAAATCACTGGAGGAGTTTGAAGGAGCTCTGTAAGCCCTGTCCTGGCAGAAAAACTGCAAACTTGAGAACTTCAGCAGTAGGATGCACATACTTGATGCACCTGTGCTGCCCCTGGCTTTTTCAAGGAGACACAAACTGGGGAAAAGTTCTGGGCTGAGAAAAAGCTCAGTCAAGAGATGAACAAGCCATTTGGAAAAGCAGACAAGTGTTGGAAAGTCCAGGAAGGAAGTGCTGTATACAACAAAAAGAACAAGGCACTTGGAAACGTATGTAGGAAGGACTAGAAACTTGAGTAGGCAAAAGATGCTTTGGCTGAACTCTTAGTGGTTTAGAGTTCTCAGGAGTGGGGCTGTTCCTCAGGGACTGCAGTGAAAAGCTGCACAGTGCTGTACAGGCTCAGCACATGGTGCTTGATTTGCCCTTTTTGAAATCCAGTGGCTAGTTCATCCCCTGGAAAAAGAAGTATATTCTGGCTAGTTGGTTCAGTTTAAGAAGAAACAGGCAAGTGTGTAGCTGGAGTAACAGGTAATGGAGGTGAAAGGCTGGGTGTAGGAAAAGTCAGCTGTGTGCAGGGGGCACAGGATGGAGTCACCCTTCCATGAAATCCAATAAAAACTGATCTGGTCATGATTAACTCAACATTTTCAAAATCCTTTTAAGAGTTCACAAGGAACACAATATCTAGCCAGCTCATAGTGGTATGTGAGGGACTCCTGACTCTAATATCCCTGGATGTCAGCCCTCTGTTTGTTTCAGATTTTGATGCTGAACACTGCTCTGCTTCTCAGTTCCAGCTTATTTATTGAGTATTCTTATCAGTTTATCTCATTTTTAGCAAGCTTGTGAATGTAAGTAAGGAAAAATACCTTATACAATAACTTAATCTATTTGAGCAGTCTGAGCAAGGTCTACATTAAACCCACTAACTGATACATATAATTAGTGGCAGAACTTCCTCTTGTGCCCAGAACCTGTGAAACTGCTCAGCAGAGAGAATGGAGAAGTGTGAAAAGCAGCTTTGATGGGGCTCAGCCATGCTCAAACATCCCCTCAAAACAGGAAGAACATCACAGTCAACTCAATACCCACGCACTGTGTCCTGTACCTGCTCAGTGTCAGACTCCAGAGTCAGCCCAGTGTCTTTCTTCACCCCTTGCTTGGGAATTCCCTGGGCTGGGAGAATCCACATTGCCCTCTTGCTTCTCAGGGGAAGTACAAAGTGACCCAGAGGTAAACAGGATCAGTGAAGGATTTTATTTGATCTAGACTCTTTCTGACAGGCATTCATAAATCTGTCTTTTAAAAACAGAGGCCCCTTTGCCACTATATATATTTTATGGGGAAGCAGATGAAGGACCAATGGTGATTGCTAAAAGAAGTGAGGTAGCATGATTTGGGGTAAATTTACCTGAGACTTGCTGTTCCAACTGAGAACTGCTATCCCAACCTGCTTGTCTTGCTTCTGTAATTCACTGTTAAAAGAATAAATGCAGTAAAGACACTGTTTTGTCATACTAGTGTTGACCTAATCAGTGTCCACAGCAAAACACTTTGCAATCAGTTTGAAATAGTGCTGGAAATGCTCATCTGACCTTTACAAGCAGTTGTGCACATTACAGAGTGTCTGAACTACTTTTGCACTTCATGACCTTACATCAAATAGCTGCTGGGCTCCTTGTCTACAAACAGTATGAAAATAATAACCAAAAAAGAGCTGAGTTGCACAGTCTCCTCTGCTTCCCTTTCTGATCTTAGGTGGTAATTTGTCTAGATATGCAGCAGCTTAGTTGTAACACACACCCATAGCATTCAGGTCTAGCTGTTGTTTTTGCCCGAGAAGCAACGCCAGGGTGTCACTCATGTCTCTCTGCCATGCTCTAAGGAGGGGAAAACATTCAATTTCTTGAATACCTGGATCCATGACCTGGATGTGGAGACAGGAGGTTAAAGGAGCTGCTATTTCTTTATGAAACATGGGGGTCAAGATGGACCAAACTCATCCTGTAGTGAAGACTTCCATATTCTTAATGCAGCAGTTTAGGTGCCAAAAAATAATGCTCAGAAGGACATCTTAGAGAAGCCATGCCATCCATTGGTTCCCTAGGTGAAAACTGTCTCCTGAGGTTCATTCTGATTGTACCTATTTCAGCTTGTGCTTTATTGCAAAGACAACTTTCTGTCTCTCTTTAGTTTGCTTTCTTTCCCCTCTCTGTTTTTTCCCTTTCTTTTTAATTTAGAAACCTGCCTACATTTGTGTCTCACTGTTTTGTTGGAAACAGATGGCCCTTCCTGAAGACACACAGTTGAGTGAACAGACACGGACCACTTTACCATGTGGTAGCATGTTTGTAATTAGATATTTAAAGTGCTAGACAATTACTATCGAACCTTGTCATGAGGGAAATTTAGGTCTGTGTTTACCAAGATCTGAATTATAAACTGGATCCCTGCCAGGGCTTTACTCGTGGGTATAAGATGAAGGAAGACTCTGGTTGAATACTGAGTGACATTGATTAAAGCTACCACCTGCCCTGTCTCAGACATGATCACACACTCCTCTCTCCCACCCTGTCCTGTAGTTTTTGTTGACCATTGTTTGTGGTTTCCCTATCTGATAAGTTTTGGGACCACAGGAGGTACCACCTCTGTAACATCTCTAGTTAAAGGCTTATCTTCCAACGTGCTTTTGGACTACAGAGAGGTAAAAGCAGTTCCATCCCAAAAGAAGTCAGTGTAGAGCCATTGTTACATTGGGAAAAAAGCAGGTAAAGTTGGAGATGAGAATGGAAAGTGATAAATCAGGGGAGAAATTTTAGGGGAGTATTACAGAAGAAGAGAAAGAAGTTCAGGATTTATCTAATGCAGAAGATAGTTTAATTCCTGCAAAGTTTTGCCGTGGAAATACACAGGCTGTGGAAGCTGAGAGCAGCAGCACTGGCTGCTGGGGAAGTGCAGCTGTGCCCCTTTCACGTGCCTCCCCCAACACTGCAGCCACAGCTGTGACTGAACAGTTGCAATCAAGAAACTTCAATTTCAGATACATGAAGTTCACTCTGGTTTTACCCTGCTTGAAACAGAAATAGTATAGGAGTCTGGAGGAAAGAATCATGGAAATACAAATGTTTGCAAACTATGGAAATGGTTAAAGTCATAGGTAAAGGAAAACCAGTTTTACGTCAAAATCTCACACCTGAGCTGCTCTGCTGCAGTGGAATACTTAAAATGGTTGTGAAAGACAAATTATATCATGACTTCATTTAAAAAAAACAAACAGAAAAAGTTGTTAGTTCTAAATTTGGATAAGGATTTAGCAATGAAATGCTTCAGGGATAACTTGTTTTCAATGGGGAATTCTGCGAACAAAAACTGATTACAGGATGGAGCCAAATCCCTGGCAAGGATACGGACAGGATCATGGAATCAGATGAACTAAAATTTCCCATGCACCAGAATCCACAATAAGGCCAGGAGCAAAATGAGCACAATCACAATGTATTTCAAGAGCCAGGACTGAGCAATGGGAGAAAGCTGTGTACTTTCTTCTGTGTACCTGTAATCTCTTGCAAGATCTTTCTGAAGAGAGGTATGTGTTGATCTTACAGAGAACTAGAACACTGATTTAAATATTCATTGTATAATCAGGGGAAGGAATCTTGGAAAACTATGTGAAAAAAGTACTGTGGGGTTGTACAGAGTGCAAAAGATGGGAGGACAGTGATGAAGACCAGCAGTAACACCTGGTAATGTTGTTTAAAATAAAATTTTGTTTAATTTATTGGTCCCTTAAAGTTCAAATTTGAAAGTAAGCTAGCCAAAGTAAGCATTTCCCAGGAATATAATTTTGGTTTGCAGTCTGCATTGTAACATTAACTCTGGTATCTCTTGCAGCATTGTCCTGTAATTCAAAAAAATCCCACAGGGAAATAAGGTAAATTCAGCTGAAAAACTCATAGGTCGAAGGACATGTGAGTGAAATACAACTCCATGTGCAAAGACAGAAGAACAGGTTGCAGAAGGCTGGAACAACAGATGGTTGTCACAGGGACGAGAAGAGCTTGATAACAGTTACCATGAATAAGAAATACCTGCACGGCAGTAATGTTAGGCCTGTGGGCAGCAGTAAATCAGGGTTTGGTTTCTCATGACGTTAAGGATTATGCACCCACATAAAGAAGCCTCTGCCCTGACAAGTGCACGGTGTAATTGTTGTCCAAACACATCCCACTTCCTCGCTCCGGCTGACTCACGGCCGCCTCTGAGAAACTCCCATCGGAACGGTTCCTGTGGGGCGAGCAGCAGATGTTGGGCGGCTTTCTGCCCTGCATTTGGGGGCGATGAGGAGCTGCCGGCGGGTGTGACTGGGAGCAGGGATCGGGCAAGCAGAGGGCAGTGTAAGCACACGGACACAGCGCCGGGAGCGCCGGCTCCAGGAGGGAACGGGAGCGGGAGCGGGAGCGGGCCGGGGGCTCTGCGGGCAGCCTCGGGTGTCCCGCCGCGCCTCGGCCTGCTTGTGACCGGCAGACATCATGACTCCATTCTTATTTAAAATAAAATAAAATAAATAAAATTAATAGTTAAAAATTTGGATAGGATTTAGCAATGAAATGCTCCAGGGGATAACTGGTTTTCAATGGGGAATTCTGCGAACAAAAACTGATTACAAGGATGGAGCCAAATCCCTGCCAAGGATAAGGACAAGGATCGTGGAAGCAGATGAACTAAAATTTCCCATGCGCCATAATCCACAACTGGGCCAGGAGCAAAATGAGCACAGGCAGAAAGGGTGCCAAGAGCCAAAAGGAGGAGTAAGAGAAATCGGAAGTGGAGGAAGAGGAAGAGAAGGAAGAAGAGGAAGAAGATGAGAAGGGAGATGAGGAAAAGGATGATGAGGAGGAGAGTGCGCATCCCCCTTGCGGCTCCATCCGGGCATGCGATGACGTCATCACCCTCGCGCGCGCAGCGCGTATTCCCCTCCGCGTGCCCCTCGCCCCTCCGCACGCGCGCTGCCCAGCCAATGACAGCGGCGCGGCGCCGCAAGGCCTCCTGGGGGCTGTAGTCCAACGCGCGCTCCCCA